CCCGCACTCCACAAGTCCATCTTATACGTGTAGTAGCCATCTGTCAAGAGACACTCCGGGGCACGGTACCAGCGAGTGGAAACGTATTCTGTCAATGGCTGCCTAGAGTATACGCCTTTGCACGATCCAAAATCAGCCACCTTCAACGTGCCGTCCTCATTTACCAAGAGATTCTCCGGCTTTACATCACGGTGAAATAGACCTGTGCGGTGAGCATGGTCAAGTCCCTTAAGAAGCTGGTACATAAAGCTCATGATTTGTTCCTCGCCAAGGTACTGTCGACGCCCCTTGATGAGCTCATACAAATTCATCTCCATGTACTCAAAGACCAGAGCCAGTCGTCCTGTTGACCGGTCGAACATCACCTCAATGAGCTGAACTATGTTTGGATGCGGCTGCAGTCGTCGCACCGCCTGAATCTCACGCAGACGATTCACCTGCTCCTTTGACTTGAAAAGCCTTTTCATGCATTTAATCGCCACAAAACGCTTTGTCTCTATATCCTGTGCTTTAAGGACCTCACTAAAAGTACCCTCCCCCTTCTTGCCAAGGATCCTGTACTTTTGCATTGGAACTAAAAAATATCCCCCTGCGTTTTTCTTTCTCGTCTTTATAGGGCTTTGTTGTTTTTGTTCGTGTTTCTCCTTATCTCCCCCCTCACCGCCTCTTCTCTAACAAACACACACAAACACAGGCAGACGGACAGCCACCGACGCGTGGAGAGTGCTTCGGTGTCCCTCTCGCTTCTCGTTCTTGCACGCACAACCAACCAACCAACCAAGAAAAGTTTAATTTCGCCTCCCTTCAAAATTAACGCAAAAAAAAAAAAAACGATGCACGCGGCAACCGGCGATAAATCACGCTCGCAGCCCCGACGCACACACTCCACCCCCTCTTCTGCGGACAGAATTCAGGGAGTGGATGAAGTAATGCGTCACCTACGACTTACTTCCCCGCTCCGAGTACTCCTCCTACCGCCACTGCACGCACAAATTCGGAGCCTTTTTTTTTTTTTTTCACACCGCCAAACAAATCAGAAAAAAAAAAAAAAAAAAGAAAAAGAAGAAAATAAAATTATTATTTTCTTCACAGAAACACATAAAATTGTAAGCAGTGAACATGTCGCTGTCGCTGCCACCATCATATTATAAATAATCACAAACAAATACAATTAAAATTTATCGCATCCTCCGTAATAGTTATAAATATTATTATTATTTTTATCATTTCTTATTATTTTAAGGCTTCACACAGACACACGCGCATATTATATATAATAATATAATATATTTATTTATTTACTTTACAACATACATCAACTGCGACTCCCTTCACAAATCTCTAATCGTAAACAAACAAACAAACAAACAATAAATAAACAGAAAGGAAGGGAACCTCTAATTTATCCTTTTATTCGATTTCACATATAACGCCAAGCAAATACCAAAGAAAAATAAAGGTGCACAAACATACAAATGTCATATAAATATCTTCCTAAGGCTTCACCGCATTCGACTAAGTGAAATCGTATATATATATACACATATACATATACTAAAAGAAAAAGAAAAAAAAAAAAAGACGGGGAGGAATCCAAAATTGATTGACTGCATTGGAAGATTCGATTTTCTGATAACTACGATGACTTCTTTATCACCAGTGTCCAAAATTCCCACAGGCTGGTCCAACCGTCGTCTTCTCTTCGCTTATCCTCTCCGCGCACTGGTAGTCTCCATGCGGTAAAAATACCTCAACGGCCACGAATGTTGGATGTCTATCCGAATCCTCCGCCTCCTCATTGGATGCGCAGCACGGCCACCAGCCAATTAAAAGCTGCAATTGCCATGGCGCACCCTCTGGTGAATGACGCAACACCAGAAATGTGGTAACCGTGATGTAAAACGATACAAGGATATCGTCCGTGTAGTGGGAACGTGAGGCAATAATAGAGTAAAAGGAAAGAAGAACCAATAAAACAGAAGCTGGTCGAAACACCCAATGCAACATCGAACCATAAATCCACTGAACCAGGAGACTGAGCGTGATGGGGACCGTATGACCGCTAAACATGAGGTCCCCACAGTGAATGAATCCACTCCCGAAAGTCACCAACGTCATAATCACGTTTTTTACCGGATTTGTAATTTTCACTGGGTTCTGGCAATGATTGTCCGTTGCAGGATACGATGTCATGACAACAACAATTGCGCGAAATAGCATAACAATAAAATAAGTAGTAAAATAACGAATCCAGACAATAAGATGAGCATCCCGTTTTTCAATTCCAGATTGACGACCTCTGTCCCACACTCCAAAAATAATTTTGCCAATTAATGGGCAGCAACTGAAGGGCTGCAGTTCGTCAAGCCCCTCATTTTGACGATGGAGCAGATACAGCTTGAACGCAACCAGCAAACTAAGAAAGTTAAGGATGAAGATGCAAACATCGGTTACATGCTCCAGCCAGCCAACCTTCGGAAACACCTCAAACCCAATGTCTGGCAGCGGCCGGACAACTTTTGGGTCCGGCATTCGTGCATTAGTTACCAAAAGTGCGACTCCAAGAATTAAAACGGAAAGCAAAAACAGCAGCAAAAACCGAATAGCCTGCGTTTTCAGTGGCAGCAGTCTAAGTGCAGAATGAGGTCCCATTAAAACCATACAGTCTCCTAGTTTATAAAAGAAAACAAAAAACACAAAAGCGAGCTACACAGTTGCTATACTGCAAAGGAGCCAGCGAATGATAAAAAAAAAAAAAAGAAGAGCGGCAAAGATGTATACGGCCTCGGAACCCTTGTGTCTCCACCACCATTCTTCGCCCAAAGGAAAAGAAAAGCACACCTGCTTAGACAACAGCCAAAAACAATGCATAGGCACCCCAGAAGTCCAACAACAACAACAATAATAATAATAAAAAATGAAATAAGAGTGGGTAAACTTGATCATATTGGGACAGGACGGACAAGAAGGGTATTGCCGTCCCAATCTCCAGCCGCACCAAGCGTGCTTGAGAAAACGACACAAGAAATAAATAAATCAACAAACGCATCACCCGCACAAGTCAAGAACTTGTTGACATGGCAAGGAAAAATTTATCACAATGAACAAAGGGAATTCCCTGCCCCAATGGAAGGCGTACCCGTCTCTGTGACTTTGTGGAAACGTTAAAAAAAGGGTGCTCTAGTAGTGCTAGTCGTAGTCGTAGTCGTAGTCGTAGTAGTAGTACTAGTAGTACTGGTAGTAGTTGTGGTGGTGGTGGTTGTGTTAGCAGCGTTTTTGTCCTTTGACATGTTTTCGTACCGGATCTCCAGGGCAATATTAACTGTTGCCGCCAATACGATACATACTAAGAGTGCTACAAGGGGCAGATGATGGCCATAGCGTAACAGCCAGAAATTCACGTTGCCACCCACCCCCTCACTCCCGCGCATTCTAATGCTATGACTACCTGACGCATTCGTATTGTATGCGCAAAACAACAACAACAACAAAAAATAAAAATAAAAATAAAAATAAATAAGAATCGCACGAACAGACGGCACAAGCTGCCCAATAATGCTGTGAAAACCGAGGAGACCAAATTTAAAGGATACACACACAAAAAAAAAAAAAAAAAAAATGGAATATTCACCTGGTCCGCTTGCAGAATCCTGAAGTTACCACTAATAGAAAGCAAAAGTGATAGAAATGAAAAAGGGGATGCATGGAATAAGAATGGATTCACCATATCCTCAATGCTTAAAAGCAAGTAGGTACATATATTCCTATATCATCCGTTAGCCACAATTGTGACCCGTTCACTCTATTCGGATGGTATACATATATATTTATTTATTACTTACGATGTGGCAGACTTTGGGCTCCTGCAGCCACACGACCCCGCCGCTGGGTGGGGATCAAAAAGTGGGCGGGCGGGACGGCAAAAGCAAAATAAAAATAAAAACCGTCCGGACACCACTGCCTCCCTGCTTCCCAGAACCGGGCCAATCAAAGATCCATAAAATAGGGACAAACATTCTAATCGCTTTTGTCTTTGGCCTTTCTGGCGGGATTGGGCAAGGCAAAAGGAATGAAAAGAAGGGCTGCGGCAACGGTTCCGGGATCAGGAACTGCACCGTGGTGCTTTGCGCCTTGCGCGAAGATTCCTGGCGGCAAAGCCGCATGGTACCCCGGAACGTGCCCGGCACGCCCTAAACATGTTGCTTTCGTTTTCCATGGGACAACGCAAATGCGCTCGATTGTTCGGGGACCAAAAGTAACACTTCGTAGGCTATAAACACATATGTATCCAATCCGAATAAAGCGTTCAACGTGTCACGAGAGTGGGTCCACCAGAATATATAAATATGCGGAGCAAACAACGAGGATTTGGCCAACCCGCTGCTTCTCCATTTACGCATTCTTCTTTTTCGTCGTATTTTATTTGTATTTAATCGTTTGGTGTCCGGCCAGCAGCCCAGGCGAATATTCCTTCCTTTCTTTTTCCTCTTTGCGTGTATGCCACAGGCACGGTTTGATTCAAGTGCCAGTGGCGCCTCCACGCAATCACATCCTTCTGTTGCTGCATTTGCGGGCAAATGGGTTTGGGCATCCAGAACGCACACACACACACACACGGCCGCAACGAGAGGGACGGGGCACGTCCAAGTACACGGCGCAGTCTTTCACTTCTCTCCGCCTCGCAGCAGGCGGTGGCGGGTGGCGTCCCACACTCACAAATGGGGCACGGCGCACACCATCCGCTCCCTCCGAGTGCGCTCAGCAGACCGGCGCCCAGTCACCCTCGTGCCATCGCGGAGGGGAGCACAAACAACCGTCGTCGCGGACCCTCGGTGGCTCTAACAAGGAAAAAAGAAGAAGAAATGGGGGCGTGTCAGCAGCACAGCCGGCAGAGAGACAATAAAAGGGCACGGAGACACACAGTGACATGGGACACGGCACGGACGGGGACGAAACTCTAGTGATTTGCCAAAAGAAAAAAAAACAAACACACACACAAAAAAAAAAGACGGGGAGTCCGGTATAACTCCCAAAAATAATAATAATAAAAGCAAAAAAAAGAAAAAGAAACAAAACAATTGATTCGGCGGAGATTCCATTTCATGTTCTCTGCAGCACAATACGACCGTGTTTTTGAGTTCATACATACTGCCCACAGAAGAACAAGAAAAGTAAATCACAGTATTACACGAGCCCACACAAAATCCCTCACATTCCATGCGGCATCCGGCCTGCTCCTCCACTCCTCGTGTGCAGTCCGTGGGACACACAGCAATGAGGCCGGCACCGCGTGTGGGCAAAAAAGCAAACAAGAGGGGAAACACGTCACGCATGACGGTGTGCAGCAAGCAACCATTGGGGGTAAAACACACAGGGGTGTTGATTATTTCAACAGAGCACCAGCAATAAAAAAGTAAAAAAAAAAATTGAAAAGAAAAGAAAAGAAAAAGTATCATTGACAAAGTTGAGTGCGTAGTGCTGGGAAGCTGCACATTTGTTGTTCCACGAAAAGCCGCAATTCCACCCTCCCTCACACTTCAGCAGAGAGCCGCAGTGCCCCACAGCCCCA